TATAAAGATGATGCTAACATTGAATTTTTTTAATCACATAACATTAAAAAAAAGGGACGCAGTGGCTCAGTGGCTAAGACCCTGAGTGTGTTGATCTGAAAGGTCGGCAGTTTGACAGTTCGAATCCCTAGCACAGCGTAACAGAGCGAGCTCCCGTTACTTGTCCCAACTTCTGCCAACCTAGCAGTTTGAAAGCACGTAAAATGCAAGTAGAAAAATAGGAACCATCTTTGGTGGGAAGGTAACAGCATTTCGTGCACCTTTGGCATTTACGCATGCCAGCCACATGACCACTGAGACGTCTTCGGACAACGCTGGCTCTTTTGAAACAGAGATGAGCACTGCCCCCTAGTGTTGGGAATGACTAGCACCTATGTGGGAATGGAACCTTTACCTTTAACATTAAAAAAATATAAATGGGAAAGTGGAACATGACAAAACAGTTTTCTGTGAAATTATCTTTTATTTTCACGATTGCTTCTGGCCTCCATATCAGCGTTCTTTGAAAATAAACATAATTGAGAGATACAGCCTGTTTTTCTGTTTGGAACAAGGCTGGACAGTGAAAAGCATTTTCATCCGTTCCCCCCATCTCTTCCACAAAAATACATGTTGTGTGAATTTTCATACATACAGATTTTGGCCCACATTTGTTACATGAAGTTTCAGATTTTTATGATTAGCATGACTTTCATAGTTTTTAACAGATCATAGGCACTAAATTATTTCTCATAACTTTCATTTATGTCTTTAGTATCAGCGTGGTTATCGTGTTGGCACAGGGTTATTTATCTAAACTCTAGCACATAATAATGGCCAAGGAACATGTACCTCTAGTTTATTTCTAGTGAAAGCAGAATGCCCTCACTTTAAAATTTATTAGTCCATTTCTGGCTCTACCAGCATCTGTGCAGAGGTTGAATGCCAATTATAGATCTACTCTATCAATAATTTTAGCTGCCCCCCAACAAATCATAGCAAAGTGACCAATTTGGATGAGGCAACAAATCAGTTATGGATTTCACCTAACCTTTTATAATCGATGTATGAGCCAAAGGTTCTGAAGTTGTAAAAATGAGGCACATTCAATATCCAAGTTTATGGCTCAAAAGCTATAGTGCCATCAGCTACTAATTAATTACCACATTTATTGCCTTTCTTTCTTAGCTACAGATCACTACAATTTCTGACTTCCAGAAGAACTCAAACTAAAAGAAATTTCAACTATTGCCTTCATAAATTAAGGAAATGGGACTGTATCTTATGTACAAAGGATTATCACGTATACGTAAATGTGCACTCATGAAATATAGATCAAGATACTTAGAAGGGAGAAAGCTAACATTGTTTTCATGTAGGGTACCTTGGAGAAATTTCTCAATCGTCATCATCTCCCATTTAAATACACAGGCAATGTTGTTAGATGAGAGGCATTCACATTGAAGTGAGCATCCTAAATTATATAGAGGTTCTTTTTGGATGCAGCGAATTGACCAATTGGAATGGATTGGAAAATAATTACAGATGGAAGCTTGGCTGACTTCCAGACCTGGACCAAACTGGAATAGAAGCCATTCACATGCTAAATATCTGCAAGTCAGAATATTGTAGAAGGCCAGAGGTAGGGATTAAAAAAAAAAAAACAAATTAGTAAATTAGTAACTTTACATGGACCATCTTTTTTGCATGAAGATGCTGAAGACAAGAATGTTTCTTATGATTCTGCTTCATAATGGACAATCAGGAATGTATAAGTTAGAGATATAGCGCGTATGTGATATGGCCTTAGTTCATATTTTCATACAGACAAATCTGTTTTTTTTTTTTTTCCTTTCCAGTCGATATGCCGAATGAAACTGCTACCCGTTGGCATTTACAGTTTTCCATATTCTACAATGCAGTTCTGTTTTGTTTGTTTTTTTAAAGCATAGAAAATGCACATAGCATCATACAGTGTATACAAAAATGCATATCTTGGTGAAAGTGCATGGCAAATGTAAAGATTTTTTTTTACAATAAAATGAGTGCTTATTAGACAAAATTTGTAAAATGCAATATGTTAGAATATAAAAGATGTATCATTTTCATGGATTTTTTTTTTAAAATCGAAGGATCAGAAACACCATATAGCAGTACATCAGAAAAATTGGAAGAATCCAAAGTGTATTGATTTGGTCTGGCAGGAGGAACCCTCTACATGAAAAACGTCTGTGAAGGGAATGTTGATGGGAAAGAGTTCCCATCCGAATCATAACATTTCTATCGAAGAGCTCTGCTTTTCCTGGCAAAGGATTGCAGGAGGCCATCACAGCCCAAAACCAAGCTCAGGAGCCCATTTTCACTGGTAGAGAGCTCAGGCCACCACAGGTGCCCCGGAGACGAGTTACATCATGCTGGCCATGC